GGGAAAGGAAACTTGCACAGCGGGGAACAGAGAGTAACTCAAAAATGCAACACAGCTTAAATATAACAGAAAATGGAAAACAAAACCAAAGATCAACAAAACAGAATGACATCAATAACTGAAAACTCATAAAGAAACTTAAATAGCAGTCCGAAAGGGGAGAATCATAACAATAGTAGAAGTAGTATCTCAGGATTTGTGACTATAATTTCACAACATTGACTAATTTAATGACTGCTTGTCGTACGGTGCAGGAACAGAGGACTCAAATGCAAGACCTGACACAGTGGAGTAAAGTTAAAACTTCTTTTAATACACTGGGGTCAAACACCAATAATCCGAGGCAAGCAGCAAAATGGAGGCAGGGAAATGTCCACAAAGAAGCAAGATCAAAAAATTGCTAAAAAGGCTAATTTCAAATCTAAAAGGACTGGAGGACTTGACTCAGAGGACAAAGACGAACTGGCATGGGGAAGCTGTATGAATGAGAAACAAATACGCCAATAAACACAAGAGCATCACAAACTCCAGGTGAATCACATTAAGGTTTGGCACATCCTGATCTCAGAGAAGAGCTCAGGAAGTGAAGTGGTCTAAAATGAGAAATTAATACAACATAAAAGAGGAAGTGAAAATACTGGTGACACAAGTAAACTCAACTGGACTGCCCCTCACACTGCTCAGCTTAAATATAATTGCATGTGATGATAGCTTTTTCAATCTCCAAATTAAAATGCTTTGAAGAAAATAACCTCTTAGTGACATTATCTGTGAATGTCATCACCCAGGGCATGGTCAAGCTTGAAAGGTTCAGTTAAGGTAACTGGATGGGAAGTTTTCTAGAAGATGTTTTGCCTCTCATCCAAGAGGCTTCTTCAGTTCTAAATAGTGGTGGGAAGCACTGAGATTTATGTACTCTTGGTGTAAAAAATAATTAGGAGGAACAAATGGTGGCTCTGATCCCTCCTACCGGATTGGCCATGAAGATCGTCTGGCAGGTCACCTGACACTTAAATGAGGCATATGACAACTCTGAAGAGGGAGTTAACGACCCATTAGAACCCCCTAACGACCATTAACCCCTCCCAGTGGATCTGCATCATTTTGATTTTGGTTGGTAAGAGGTCCGCTTTTTTTTCTCGTAAAAATAGCCACAATCATTTTTTTCATGTGCTGATCCAAACAACACATTCTGAGGTGCTATTCCCTTTCCCAAACAATAGAATGTGGTTTAAAGTGAGTGAAGCATGTGGGAGTGATTTGCTGTGAAATTGACTTCGTTATTAGGGAAGGGTTGGCTGGCGGGGAAATGGGTAAAAAAATCCCTTTGAGGAAGGGACATTCAGACATGAACAAACTTCTGACCATTGATTCTGCAACATTTCATATGTTTGTAAGAACATTTAGACACTTTTCTTATGTTATCCATATTTTGCCCAAAGCTAGTATGACTATGCATGATAAACAATTCAGCATTAATTATTACTAGACCACAAGCAAACATCACACAAGAGAAAGAGCCTAAACCCCTTAATTGATCTTAACAATAAATGTAAAAAGTGAAAGAGAATACTTGATTAGTTAAACAACTGATGCTTGAATTGTTCTGCTGAAAGGGTGTTTAGTTCCTGCTTAGAAAATGCATATATCCTAGCAACCAGACAAACATGAAATTGTTTTTCATATCTCTGCAGCCGCTGTAAATGTGCGTAAAAAGAAAGAAGGATAAGCCAGGAGTTTATATTCAAATTTTTGGCCAGGGGCATCAACTACAGACCATTTTAAATCATTTCCACAAGCTGATAATCTTATTCCTATACAAACCAAAACACAAACAGCACTTGCTGGAACAGAGAAACATTTTTTCGTTACATTGGTACGCGTGCCAGCTGGACACTATTCTTTTGCCTCCAGACAAGGTTGATGTGGGAGAGAAAATAATCCAATTGGGGGGTGTCAGACAGTGAACATGAAACAAGAAATGAAAGATGGCAGCAAGAGAGATTTGTGACTGCAGCCTTGTACAAATTAACAAACCCATGCTTTTGAAGCAAACCTTACCTTCCTGAAGAAGTGCACATTGTTCCTGATTACCAAGTCCCTTCTGCCAGTTTATCTACTTCTCTATTTGTCTGAGTAGATTTACCGATCCTTTGCTCATCCTGTGCCTGATGACTTGGTAAGTGGTCTTGAAATTAATTTGGACTACCCACCTTTTGCCATTCTTTCTTTTCTACCTCATCTGCTGTTTATTCACACTGCTTTAAAGGTTTATTGGTTTAAAAGATTACTGGCAGATGGAGAAAGCGTGCTCACAAAGATGGGTAGAAAGTGGAATGCAGGGCTGACCGTTACTCTGCTGACATTGTGGTGAAGTCATTTGACAAGCTATCTTACCTGAAGTGCTAAACTCCTGATATGATCAAATCCCCAAGAGGATACCTTGCCCCTCCTGCTGGCAGGGGATAAAGTGGCTTCAGCAAATCTGATACAAAAAACAAACAGTGGTAAGCTCACTGGAAAGAAAAAGAGGTTAAAGGCAAATAGAATATAAGTACATTTTAATACTGAGCTACTTTGTTGTTATCCAACCCTAAAACACAAAGAAAAAATCCTAAAGCCTAAGTGCACATCAGTTAAATTCTAGGTTTTTACTTGAATCCTCTGTAGAGCGAGGAAAACATGATATTGTTTTGGTAATTAAGCTGTTTGTAAAAAGGAAAATAAAAAAAAAATAACTTTGAACATGTCGTTGGTTCCTTTTTAACTAAAATCTGAATTTTTCAGATTAAAAAACAACAACAACAACAACAGAAAAAAAACAGTTCCATTTCTTCTTAAAGGGAGGAACTGATGAGCACAAACTCTCTCTCCCTTTTGGGTCTTCTTCTTATTTTTTTATAGAAAATAGAACCCTTGATTGTAAAAAGTCCTAGTGAGGAGTTTGTAAGTCATCTAGGTCCAAAACCTGCAAACATTGCCACCACCATGTACAGTAGTAGCCATTCAAAATGTCCCCACTTTCCTTGATGGACCCTTGGATGGTCCCCTACAAATCCTTTTTAAAAATCAATATTTGTACAAAAATATTCTTATATTCTCTCTAGCTGTGAGCTAGAAAGAAATTAGCTGGGAGTAGGAGGGAATTGGACTGCCATTCGGCTGGTGTTTGACAAGGAAGGGCCATTTTGAATGGCTGCTACTACTATAATAGTCTATTTTTTCACCTTAAAAATAAACATATAAACGAAATATGAAATGTGATTCTTCAGTGGCTCTGAGTTAGCAATATTATTTTGATGTTTAAGGGTAAAATGAGCTCCACAGTTTGCACAGGTATTGTTTAACTTTGAACCCCCACTGGACCCACTTTGCTTTTTAGCAACTGACTTCCTGCCTGAATGAGCTACTCAAATCCAGATTGATGAGGACTTGAAGCCTCAAGTGTCAAAAATAGACCCACATTTTGGAGAAGCGTCCACCAGCCCACAATTCTGGCACGCTTTAAGGAATCTCCGCTGCACTGAAACACTCTGGTTGACAAGAGTGGTTTCAATCAACCTCAGCAGGGGGGTGTTGATGCTCTGCAGCGTTAACATGTTTAGTGGGACCCCAGGGTAACACTGGCACCTTAGTTACAATGATATACTTACAGTTTTGTAAAACTAAAAAAACATTTAAAATAGCTTCAGGAAAGCATCAACACAGTAGGTGAAATAATCAAGTTATTTGTGTTTCTTTGCAGCTGGTACAATAGTTACATTAATGAGGAAACATAATAAAAAAATCTCAATTTTATATATAAAACAAAGTGTGGAAAAATACACAACAGATAGCCTGGGTAGGATTTTCCTATAGTCTCCTGGGTGAAAATCATGCATGCTGACCAGTCAACCAAATGGGAATTGTCAGAGACAGGACCACACACAAAAGAAATATGGCCTTTTTCTGGTCAGTCAGTATGGCTTGAAATGAATTTTATTTGAATTGTTGTCTTTAATGTTGTGTGTGCCCTGAACACACCTACAGTGGAAGCACACCCTATGCAAAGGCTGGTAACTGAATGATAAGGCCATAAAGGGCAGTGTTTGCTAACCTGCTGTAGCCATGACGTTTGATTCTACTCCTTTACAAAAAGTCGGTTAATTCTTTGCACTCGGCTGCATCCTGGACAAACTTCCACTGCTTTACCGATAACTTATTCACCTATACCTTACTTTTTTCTTTCTTAATTTAATATGGTGTCCTTTTTTTCCTTTTTAATTGGGAGGGGCTGCTCATATCACCTTAATATGCAAAACATCAGAGTGACCCATTGTGGCGTTGTAGTGTGTCCTGTGCCACTTGCGAGGGCACAGGTGGTTGTGCCATCACACTGCAATGGTGCCGCAGTTTTATTAGGGGTAATAAAAACAAAAACTCTCAGACCACCCCTGCAGTTTAGACCTTCCCTAAAGCCAGTCTGCACCTGATAATGACTGATGTCAAGACAAGAAAGTTCAAAACAAGGCACATTTGTAATGCTGCAGAGAAAGGTTGGAGCAGGACAGCTATTGTAACAGCAGCTGATATTATGGCTCAGTTCCTCTCGTCAGTTCAATACAGACCTGATTTGATAGTTTTATAAAAAGCAACTTGTATTGAAAAGTCTTTTAATGTGCATCCCCACATAGGGAATGTCCAAGAATGGAACTTCCCTCACGTAAATGTGTAAACTATGTGATAACAATGTTCTCAATGAGTATCCTCCAGAGAAATCCAAAAACTTAAAGAGAAATACATTCTTAATTTGTCACAAATACCTGTCATATCTCAGCTTCCATCAGCTGCTGTGAAATAAAAAAGCTTTCTGCCAACAGGACAAACAGGCAGTTTCTGCTTTTTTGCTCTTTGAACTCCTGACAGTGCCTCTCAAGGAATCTGATTGGCTGTTTGTAGCAGAGAAAGGGCGATAAAAAGGGATGTGACACTGTAGTGGAAGCAACCTCACAGCAAGTTTAACAATTGATATCATTGAGTCAGACACACAGAGGGATTTTTCTTTTTAAAGCCTAACTGCTTCAGTGGAATACAGAGTAGAGCATATGGAGACAAACTACAGAGAAACACTGCAGGCCGACTTTGATGCATTTGATATATCCGAAGAGCTTGGATTTATTCTTGAAGAGCCACTGGTAAGATTCTCTGTCATCTTTTCTTTGCTGAAATGCCAAAGACTCAACAAATGCTGCTAGAATAACAATATGATCCACTGACAAGCAGAGTTAGTCCTTAAACTTTTAGCCTAGAAACTCCTTATGTCACCTTAATCTAAGTGCTTGGTTAGCAGCACGTGTAAACCCTGCAGACGGAACAGATAAGTTTCCCTGTTCTTGTGAAATGTTAAAGAAGGTTATTGATCTGATGGAGGCCTATTGCTCCTAATGTCTGTTGAACCTTTCACATGACTAGGCCTGTCCAGTAATGCATAAAAATAAGTTTATTAGAAGTGACAAATTTGGACATTGCTGTTCTAAAAGAAGTAACAGTGTCTCATTAAAGTTTCATTCCATGTTTTTCAAATAACAACCGCAGACTTCAGTGCACCATCTTGATATTTTATACACACCAGCACCGAGTAAGGCATAGTTTAAAACATGCTTTATTATTTAAACGTTACGTTTGCAATTTCAGTTATTCTGATTCCTCTAAACAATTTGAAGGTAAAAAGTCTTAAAAGTTCCCCAGAATAGTAAAAAGAGTTTATTCTTTATAACTGTCAGCATACACTTCAGCCTTTTGAGACAAAGTAATCCACCTAAACTAACAGGCAAGGAATGCATTGATCAGAGAAGCATCCAATAAGCCTTCTTTACAAAGTGTCACAATCCAGGTCCAAAGCAAACATATGGAAAACTGTGCTCTGGAGAGATGGGACCAAAACTAAGTATTCTGATCTAACTAGAAGAAATACAGGATGACACTGGATAAAAACTTTTAAGGGCTACAGAAGACTTGTTAGGTTAGGTTCCAGCAGGACGCTAAGCAATTCCCTAGAGCTGGAATGAAATGGTTTAGACTAAATACATTTATGTTGCAAGATCTGGTTAATTTCAAGTCCAGATCTTAATCCAGTTGAGAACCTTTGGCATGACTTGACAATATATGGCCCTATAGACTATCTAACCAATGAATCTGAATCCAAGCCACCTTCAATGACACAATCTCACGAGAATCTCTAAGGAGGTAGAGACATACCACAAAAGATTTAAAGCTGTGATTATAGCAGGTGCTTGTCATTATGTCCATCATCTCACAAAAATAAACAAAACATAGATATAAATTGCAAAAAATTCACATGGATATGATTACTTTTGTTTGGCACTGTATTGCTCATTCTTAAAGTGATTAATCCATTATGCTAAGTGTTTAATCTTTTTGTACAGCACAAAATAATATAATCTTCTTTCCTGAAGACTAAGTAAAAGCCTAGTCTTTGATTATAGAATTGTACCCTCTGTAAATCACTGTCTCTTAGTTGGCATATTTTCACTTACAGTATTTAATTTTTCTATGTCTGTTAAACTTCTTATCATCTGTGATTGAAGGGTTAATAATCAATGAACATCCTTGACACACAGTCAGAAACAAAACAGAAAATCAATGAGCAACTCATTTTAGTTTTATCATTTTCCAGACTCATCTCCCAGATTATTATCGGGTGTGGTTGGACTTGGCAAATAACCTGACACAATTGATTGAGTCTCGTAAACTGCGAGAACTTGTCCATAAGGTAAGAGCAAGGTGTTTTAATTAGAGTTCAGAACCTGCACTGTCTTGGTGCATGGAAAACATGAAAAAGGGAAGATAAATACAGTGTTTGCTGTCATTAAAAGGTAGTTATAAAGTTTAATATGATCTTCATTCAGATGCCAGTTTTGAGTCCCCACCTTTTAAATAACCACCGGGAGCTTAGGCTGGCCCACCTTGCCCTGGGGTTCATCAGTATGGGATATGTATGGCAGGAGGGACAACATGAGCCTGCACAGGTAAAGCACCACTGCACATGAGAGAGATAGGGGGAAGTCTACAGTTCATTTATTGGTGCCATTGGAGGGTGAAACATGGCTGAAAGCTATACATTTATATCCCAACCAAAATTTCTCAAGTGCAACGGGATTTATTAGAGGTAAATATTAAAGTGAAATGCCTTATCTTGTAATAATGTTTAAATCTACTGTTGGTTACAGTATGCATTATTGTGCGTGTTAACTTCTCAAAATAAAAATAAAATCATCAGTTGTAGAAAAAGAAAGCAGAAGAAGTTATAAAGATGGATAAAGGGATACATTTGACAGCTGAGACAAGGACTTAAACATAAAAAAAGTAATGAGAATGAAGAACTGAAACACAAATTGAAGATGTCATATTTTTTTAACTTTGTGGTTTTATGTGACAAATTCAAAGTAAATGTGAAAACTTGCAGGCCATAGTTAGTAAGAAAACAATATTAAATCAAAGGTGTAATCAGGGTCAGAGTTTTGCTATGGGAACAACCTACTCTGCGTATTGGATTTCTATGTATGGATTGAATCAACTGAACCAACTAAAATGACTAATTGGGATCCTCAAAAGCATGTGGTTTTGTAAGTGACCTTTTTGACTGAACTTTAGAATAATGATTGTTTGGCAGATTCTCCCCAAAGCCCTGGCCTGGCCTTACTGGTTAATATCCCGCAGACTTGGCCTTCCACCAATCCTGACCTATGCAGATTCAGTTTTAGCCAACTGGAAATTAAAGGATCCCACAGGGTAAGTAATGTCTTTTTACATTTCTAATATTACATTGGTACTTTTAGATGATTTACAATAATAATCAGGAATGTCCCAACTAGATTTATTTTCTTCCTCATTACCCATCAAAGTGAATTATTACGATTCATCAAAATGTCACTTAACTCACTCACAAGTGATGTAATAGATATAGTTTTCATAGCATATGAATTGCTTATTTTCTTTTCAACAGCTTATGACCTGTATTGCTAGAACCTTGTCTGCACAAATAGAAATTTTAATGACTCTGTTTTCAATCCATACAACTAGATTAAATATCAGTTCACCTTTTTGCAGCAATATCAGAGTCAATGTTTTGGAGATGGTTTTCCTGAAGAAGAAAA